AAGGCATCTTGGCATGGTGGTGCCTGCAATCCCAGATACAGGGGAGGCTGTGGCAGGAAGAATGCAAGTTCCAGGCCAGTCTTGGCAATTTAGCAAAACTCTGTCTCAAAATAAATAGTAGAAAAGAGCCATGCCAGTTCACTTTGACACCTAATGGCAAAGCAAACAGGGGAAGCCAACATAAAAATAAGAGAATAGAAAAATAATGACTGGTGTGTTCTAAAATTCTCTAGGGCACTTATCTTAAAGCAGCAACGGGCCCCCATGTAGCCAGACTTGGAACTGATGAATAAGCCTGCTGTACTGCCTCTTCTTGACTAAATGGGTACCTAAATCCAAGAAAGAACCCATTTGTGGTACTGAGATGGGAAAGGGGTTTTTGGACAATATCACTATGAAGCTACTTCAAGAATCCCTAGCACTGAAAAGATAAATACATCATTTCTCCAAAGGATAAAAGGTGCATTTCCCTTCAGCATCAAAGTGTCAATTGTAAATCAGTGGGCTGACACATATGGAGGGATGCTTCAGTTAATATCTGCTTAAAGTCCAGATTGCTGAGAAGAACCCAGTGAAACTTCTCTAGGCTGGTGTCAAAATATTATATACACAGCTATCTGGTTGTAGAAGAAAATACCTTTTCTGGGAACATTTTCACACAGAGAATAAGTATAGTTGGTAGACCAATTTCCTTTTTTTTTCTCTCCAGTACTGGGGATTGAATTCAGGGGCACTGTACAATAAGCTAGATTCCCAGTTCTTTTCTACTATTTATTTTGAGACAGGGTTTTGCTAAATTGCCAAGACTGGCCTGAAATTTGCAATCTTCCTGCCACAGCCTCCTCTGTAGCTGGGATTACAGGTACCACGATGCCAAGAAAGAAACCAATATTCTACAAAACTACTTACCTGTGAAATTTTGCATTTCAGCAGTCAGACTAAAGTCAGTAATACAAAGCCATTGAGACTGGTGTAGAAAACAGAGAACATCAGTACTGATGAGTTCCACCAACCTCAAAGAGATCAGGAAACAGTAAAATCATCTTTCACCTTTTAAAAATATGGACAAAGGGTCTCAATTTAAGTGCTGTCACTAGGAGGAAGCTGAAAATGTTGTAAACAGTGGAGGTCACAAAGCAAGGCAATAACTATGTAATAATCCCAACACTGAAATAATTTGCCTTTTTTGGTACCAGGGATTGAACCAAGGAGGGTTTAACCATTAAGCCACATCCACATCCACATCCCTTTTTTATATTTTATCCAGAAACAAGGTCTTGCTGAGTTGCTTAGGGCCTCACTAAGTTGTTGAGGCTGGCTTTGAAACTTGTAATGCTCCTGCTTCAGCCTCCTGAGCCACTGGGATTACAGGTGTGAACCACTGCACTGGGATGAAATAATTTACTTTCTATAATGGTTCTCAGAGAATTCTTGTGGGCCACTCCACATAAGTCTGAAGAGATCAGAAAGACCAGAAAATTATCGGCTGAAAACAGGGATTTCAAAGTCAGGAGCTGATCAAGTTGAAAACACAGGTCCAGAACAGAGGGATAATTGATCAAAAATCTCCAGGGCTTGGGAATCTATCTTAATGGCAGAGCACTTTCCTAGCATGCATGGTCAAGGACCTTGAACTCAATTCCCAATACCAAAATAAAATGAAATAAAAATTGCCAGTGACTATTTTATGTACATAAAAACTTCCTGGAAGTAATGATTACTCCTCCTTAGATGCCAGGGTCAGAAGAAAAAGAACATACTTTTCTTCCAATCAATTCATAAAGAAAATGAAGCTTGATGCTCCACTGCCATTTATGATACTTCTAGGATATCACACATACTTAAGTAGTACAGCTCAGTATCCAGTGAAACCTGGAACAGAGAATGAACTTGTAGGTAAAAATCACAAAACCATTGGAAGATGAAGACCATATGGCTCTGGCAGTAGACCTAATAACAGAAAATATTTTTCAAAGTTCAGGGGTAAACTATTCTATGTGGAAGTAAATTTTAATATAAAGTTAGGCATCAGAAAAAATGATTTGACCAATTTCAATCTTAGAAACAAATATCATGGCACTAATTTAAGGAAACAAAAAGGCATAGTACAAAAATAACTAAAGATTCCTTAATTTCAGAGCTTCAATTACTGATTTTACACACACACACCACAGTTGGGATCCTACATTTTTTTCTTCTAAGATTTATTCTAGAATATTACTCTTATAATTATAGAACAAGCATCTAAACCATCAGATTCTTGAGGTCAGAAAGCAGATATTGCTAGTGTCTAAATACCAAGAGCTCAATAGAGCATATTATAAATGTTCAGAGTTAAAAATTTTATGTATATAATTGAATAACAGAAACTCAAATTTCTTTAAACACACTATTTCAAGTTACCACATTTTGTTTAACGTTCAGATTTGGAATGATTCAAGTATTAAATCACAAATTAAGCAAGTAGAATGGAAAAATTTTTTTCTTCACTCCCACTGACTCTTAATTCTTTTCATACTATTTCTATTGAAGGTATTTGATTAAATCTTTTTGGGTTTGTTTGTTTTTTGGTACTGGGAATTGAACTTAGGGGCACTCAACCTCTCAGCCACATCCCTGGCCCTATTTTGTATTTTATTTAGAGACAGAGTCTCACTGAATTTCTTAGTGCCTCACCATTGCTGAGGCTGGCTTTGAACTCAGGATCCTCCTTCCTCAGACTCCAAGCCACTGGGATTACAAGCATGTCCCACTGCACCCAGCCTGATTAAATCTTTTTTTTTTTTGGAGAGAGAGAGAGAGAAGAGAGTCTTGGATTTCAACAACTATTCTTTGGACATATGGTATAAGAGACAATTTTTTAATATTTATTTTTCAGTTTTCGGTGGACACAACATCTTTATTTTATTTTATGTTGTGCTGAGGATCGAACCCAGTGCCCTGTGCATGCCAGGCAAGTGTGGTACCACTTGAGCCACATCCCCAGCCCTGATTAAATCTTTTTTAGAGGCTATGAACATTTGAAAATTTTTTAAAATTTTATATATTTATTTATTTTTATGTGGTGTTGAGGATTAAACCCAGTGCCTCATAGCTGTTAGATAAGTGCTCTACCACTGAACCACAACCTCAGCCCTAGCTTAAATCTTTAATGCATGACATGTGAGAAGGTCAACTGGCACTGAGCTAACTTAGACTAGCTCATGTGTGCCAGGCAGGGGCACTATGGACCCTGAAATTGGCTACTTCCTGCAGAAAAACAGTTCTATTTTCTACCTTTAATCCAGACTGCTCAGGTAAAGCACCATTCAGTAGTTACTGAATTTTTAGGTAGGAAACATATAACTTAAATATATGAATAACTTAAAACATTCTGCCAACAATCATTGATGTATATAGTATGAACTATTATTGAGACAGCACACTTCCTTTCAGCTTTATAGGTGATTAAGAAAATTAAGAACACTTGTTATTGAGAGAGACACTTGGTTTTGAAGCAGCACAAATTGATGAAACTTAGTTCAGTGGTGACAAGAATGACCTACTTACCCATATGTCCAGAGAATAGTTGTTGAAATCCAAGCCTGTGGGAATCAAATGAACTATGATTTTGAGGGTAGTTTGTACTCTTTAGGTGGAGGGTTATTAACTTCTTATGGGGGGTTGTCAGTGCATATGTACATACATATGGCATAATTTAATAAAATTTCTTTTCTTATGTTTCACTGCTTTATATATTCACCCCATATACAGTCATTAAAAGGCAGTGACCTGGGGCTGGGGCTGTAGCTCAGTGGTAAAGTGCTTGCCTCAAAAGTGTGAGGCACTAGGTTTGATCCTTAGCACCACATAAAAATAAATAAAGATACTGTATGTTCATCTACAACTAAATAAATATTTTAAAAAAGAAAAAAGAAAATGGGTGCCTTGATTTATTAAAACAAAAGGCAGTGACCTCAGTACCAAATTAGATGGCTCTAACACTGACAGTATGGCAATGAGTTATGGGTCCCAAGGTAAACTTCAAGAATGGATCATTCCTGACATTACTTACTATGGAATTAAAACACTAAGTTCTCTCTAGTTCTTCCTGAGAGGAGATAACTTCAACTGGGAGTACAGTCACTCTTAACACCAAGTGGGAAAAAAGTTTCTCTTGCTTTGGTAGTTTCTGTTCCCTGGAAGAGGTTCTGGCTGGTGGAGGCAGAGATAACAGTGAATGACCCAAAATGAACCAACAATCTCTAAATGGGTTAACAGAATACCTTGAATTCTACCCAGGCCAGGACTCAGAGACTGACCAGAAGCTAAGAACTGTTTTCATTTACATGAATCTTCATCAAATCATAGAAGTACAGTCATGTTCTTCCTTATTCTAAATCCTGGTCTTTGGGAGGGGAGAAGGGAAGTGGGTATAGAGGAAGGCCATGGTGCTTCACAAAGGCCTAGTATTCTAGGCCACACCTGACAATATCATCACACTGCAGAATGTAATCCCACTTTGAAAATGGATGACACTATTTGGGGAACTGAGGAGAAAATATAGATGCCTACTCTGAAATTTTAACTGAAGAATGTGGAAGCCACACCAGTAAGCAGGTACATTGTCCACTTAAAAATCTAAATGATTATTTTGCTTCTCATTTACCATATAATGACTTTCTTTTAAAAAAAATTTTTAGTTGTAGTTGTACACAATACCTGTATTTTATTTGTTATTTACTTTTATGTGGTGCTGAGGATAAAATTCAGGGCCTTGCATGTGCTAGGCCCGTACTCTACTACAAAGCAACAACCCCAGCCCCAACATATAATGACTTTCTAAAAATTGCCTACTGTGGTGTATGTGTTAAGCATATTTTAAGAGTCCTTCCATTTTCAATGGATAAAACAATCATTTACATTCAAGAAACATGATCAAGTCTGGGTGTTCTAAGTGACATCTGAGACTAAATATGTAACCAACTTACATTTCACTCAAAACACATAATCATCCAAGCTGTATGTATACATAAACAGGTTTATGCAAACATCCTGATGAAAGTATACTTAGTCTTTCAGATGAGGTACATAAAGCTAAGGGCTCAGCCTGTATATCCCACCAAGGGCAAGAGCAGCAACTTTTCTATTTTAATACAATTGTGGGCAGAAATCATGTTGTTTAAAATAGAGATCCTTTCATAATACTTAAGATTTAGAGTAGAGAAAGAGAAGACAAAACCAAAATTCCCACACAGTCAAAAACAATTTCATGTCAGTCTTATAGTCTGAAAAAAACCCTAAGAAGAATGGCAGTTCCCAAATTCATATACTAGGATCCAGGTTCACCAAGACATTTCATTATGCTTCGAAGTTGCTCATCATGGTTTTCCTGCTGTATTCATAGGCCAAAAATAGTGCACCATTGGAAGGGAATGCTCGAATCATGGTAGCTTTCAGTCCTGAATATAAGGCTAGTACTCCCTCGTTTCTCACGATATTTAACAAGGTTCCAATAAATCCTGCCTGTTTTCCATACATGGAAAGAACCTGAATTCTGGATTTAATACAATCCACTGGGAATACAACAAGCCAGAGGCAGATTCCAGCAACTCCACCACTTAACATCAAAGGGACAGGGCCTAGTTCATTCTTTGGTCTCCCTGATGCAAAAAAAGATCTGCTCAGTTCATACCCACCGAAGAAGAAGAAATAGCCCATTACTTCCTGAAGTAGAGTGCTTGAGAGACCATGGTATAAACCTAAGACACCATCCTTCTTAAGGATACTCTTCACGACAGACCAAATTGTGTTATGGCTTTTTACTATCTTTCCTGACAACTCCATTTCATACATGGTCTGCAGCCGGCACTTCACAAGCTCAGTGGGGCAAAGGACCAGGGCAGCAATCGCAGAGGCAAAGGAACCGGCAGTTGCAGTCTGCAGATCATTCAGTTCTGCCTGCTTGTCCAAGCCAACCATTTTTCGAACAAACTGTTGACTAAAGCCGTAGCACATGAAGAGGACAGAGCTCTGGGAAACTTGGGCCATCAGTGCTGGGCAGGTTCCCCTGTAGAAGCCCCGGATACCCACTTGGTTGTATGTCTTTCGGAAGCAGTCTCTGAGGCCCGTGTACAGGCCAGGGAATGTCTGCATCTTCACTTTCATTGTGTCAAAGGGCTGCCCAGTCAGTACACACGCTGTACCCCCTGCGGCCCCGGCTGTGAGGTCGATGGCAGCCTGGATGCTGGGGCTGGACTTCATGTTTGCCCACTCAACTGTAGGTCTCGGTGGAAGGCAACTCTCTGGAACACAGGACCCGGGGCCCACATCTGCCTGCGCCCAGGACCTGGGGTGGCTCCGCCACCGGCCGCCGGCTCTCACGCAGCGTAGAGGGTAGGCCGCTAAACCTCGGCCGTGAGCCGCCTGCAGCCCTCCCCGCTCCCAAGTAACCCCTGGCCGGTGGCCTCGCGCTGCTCGCGAGCTCACAGGTAGGAGGCGGGGCCCTAGCCGGCACCCGCCTGCGCAGTGCGGAAAAGCTGCGCAGTGCGGAAAAGCTTTCCCGGGGCTGGTGTGAAGCTCCGGGAAGAGCACGTGCTGAATTTGCACAGGGGCCTGGGTTCAAACCTCAGCAACCTAGACTTTCTTACTACACACAGGGGGAAAAAAATTAGAGATGCAATTTTAAGAAAAAGTTTTAAAGTAAAGACCAACTATTTGGGGCTCCTGGTTACTATATGAAAATAGGTGGCTGTTTTTATTGGAAAACCCGCAGTCAGCTGCTCGCAGCACTTCACTCTAGTGGGAGGGAGAGAGGCTGGGATGGAAATCTGTGTTCAAAAGATGCAATACTTCGGAGATAAAAACAAAATCTAAGGGGCATAAAGTTTGTGAAAATGATTCTCTTTTGTTTAGAAAGATTTCCTTGTGTGATTATCCATGGCTATCAGTTATGATTTAAAGTGAGGCACCAAATGGCCCAAGGACAATTTGTCAACAGATAGTTTTCATTGTAGTAAATGGTGACCTGGTGCAGTGGTGCACGCCTGTAATCCCAACGACTGGGGAGGCTGAGGCAGGAGGATCAGGAGTTCAAAGGCAGCCTTGGCAATGGCGAGGTGCTGAGATACTCAGGGAGACCCTGTCAGTGGTCTAACAAACAAAAATGGTAACCTGGCTTTTTCTTTGGAGAATGCCCAAATGTCAGTATTTGGAGTTCTTTTCTCTGGGACCATGTTTCTTCAGTGATAATCTTCCAACCCTGTGTGGGGCAGGAGGAGAATTGGGGTGGGTAGACTATATTCCTAGATGTAACAGTGCTCCACTTTATGCTTCAAATATAGCCCTTGCTGCTCTGCCACTGCAACTGATTTTTTAAGTGGACATGTTTCTTTTTCTTCTCCTTCCAACCCCCCTAATCTCAGGGGAAACACATTACCTTCCCCATTCTAGGCAGATTTATCTGTCCTGGAGTGTACACCCACCATAGGAATGAACTAATCCAGAGTTGGTAATGATACCAGAAGATCTCAAAAATGATTATCTCCCAAATTAACAAGTGAATTACAACTACAACAGAGAACACATGGAATGTAGCCCTGAATCACCTCTTTAAAAGCCCCTTTTTCCTCCTGATGGGCAGTGAAAGGCCAAGGTTCGAGGGCGGAGATTAAAATGCACACACACAGATAGCAGTGACAAAGATGAAGCACTTTACTGCAAGCTGGTGCTAGTTTATATAGAAAGTGAGAGTCATTTATCTTAAACCAGGAAGCTCCCCGGACCATAGTAAAGGTCAGATCATCACCTACTGTGCACACATGTCCACCCTGCATAAAATTCATGGGGGGCATGAACTGTCCACATGTACTGAAGACGGGAGGGCCAATTAGAAGGTTTTCAAAATAACTTGTTATCTGCCCACTGGCAACTTCCTCCGCCATGTTGCATTAGGGGCTCCTTATCTGAAAGGCCCAGGGAGTTCTAGCCACCCACTGGCAATTTGCCCACTGCCATGTTTGAAAGGCCCAGGGAGTTCTCAGGGAGACTCCCAACAGGCAGTTTCACAGTCTTTGGGACAGGAGTCCCCTGTGTTTCTCCTTGGCTAGCAAAGCAATAAATCTTCTTTTTCCTTTTTCTCAAATCTGTGTTCTAGTTATTGGACTGGCATCAGGGACAAGAAACCAGATTTCAGCAACAAATTTGGCATCCTAGATGGGACCTGAAATTATTATACAATCTTGAAGTTGATCTTGTCTGTCAAGGGTCAAGTATATGAAAGAGATTCTGTATGTATAGGCATGCTTGCAGTTGCATGATAAGGGGTCTGAACCATCAGGAATGAAGTTGAAGGTGCCAAAAGGCACTGCTTCTGGTGTGCTAGGATAGCAGGATACCAGAAGAAAGGGTTGAAAAGATTTAATATTTTAAACCCAGTGCTGGTGCTCCCAGCACCATTTCTCAATCTGGCCTCAGGCAGCTATAGATAATCTCACTGTGGGTCAAGGACATCAGGCCTAAACTGGAAAAAAATTTTAGAAATCTGCCTGGGCTGTAGAAAAATGACCAAAGAGAACCTGGCCTCTGCTCTGCCTTCCAGCCCCTTTTGCCCCTGGTGGGTGGAGGCTAATAACCACAAAGATGTGGCAGTAGATTCTAGCACAGTCAGTTTATGAGCTGGGGACAGGAATAGTCTTCCCTTTTAAGATCTGACAGGACACCTCATTTGGCCAGGGGATATCCATCACTGGGGGAAAGCCATTCTTGCCATAATAGTATTCCTTCAAACTAATATGCCTGAGGAGATTGGCAAAATAAATAAATAACTGCACACAGAAAAGGGAAAAAAAGGCCAACCTGTATTTTGTAGTTAGCCTCTGCAAAGGGGTCTTAAAGGAATCCTAAAGAAAAAAAATGAAAAGGGCCTCCTCCATTGCATATCAATATGCCTAGTATAAGAGAAAGGCCCAAAAGAAGCCTCTGGGTACAATTGACAGGGGATGGGGAGACTCCTTTAAAGTTGATGGCATCATGATAATGGTGAGGCAGACAGGTCAGTCTCAAAAATATCCTATGCTTCAACCCCATAAATGCAACCTGGGAATTTTTGAATATGTCAGATTGTCTGATCTCTCTCCTGGAATGAAATTTGCTGTGTAACTTACATGCACAGATAACATTATAAGGACTATTTGAGAATATGAATTTAAGAAAGAATCCAAAACCAGAAAAGGTAAAAGACAGTTATAGATATGTAAATACATTTTAGTATGGAAATTAGAAGTTACAAGAAATGTGTCTGGATGAGAAAGTATTTTGTCTGGTAAAGCAATATTCTTGTGCTAAAGTCCCAGATAACAGAAAAAACTAAAGGTGTAAAGTTTTGAATAAGTAAGTCCTAAAACGTTTGTGGAAGGTAAATCTCAAAAATTTGTGTTTGTGATTAAATTAGCTATAATTGGCACAGTCAGTTAAAATTATTTGATCTTTAATGTACTCATATGAAGCAAAATCTGAAACATGGATCTGCTCCTATCTATCAAGTTATATAAGTTTATCAGCAAGATAACCAATAAGTGGCCTCCTTTATACATTGTATGTGACATAGAAGGGGCACACTGTCATTTGAAGACCTGTCTTATATCTGTTTACTTAGAGTAAGTCAATTTCTGATCATTAAAGTTGTTTCATAAATGTGTAAGAGATTTAAAAGGCTATCCTTTGATTTTTGCTAGTCCTGCTAACCCATGCAGACCTGAATTCTAAATTGTACTTTAAAAGTTACCATACACTCTGAATTCTAAATTGTACTTTAAAAGTTAAACTTAGGGGCTGGGTTTGTGGCTCCAGTGGTAGAGCGCTTGCCTCGCATGTGAGAAACCCTGGGTTCGATCCTCAGCACCACATAAAAATAAAAAAACAAAATAAAGATATTGTGTCCATGTAAAACTAAAAAAGTATTAAAAAAAGTTAAACTTAGTTACATGTAAAGCTTAGGGGAAAACATTTTGCCAAGTTGATGTTCTCTAAGCTAAAATTATGTGTAGCAAAATTCTCAGATTTGTATAATTTTTTAAAAAATTGTTTGTATTTATTCATATCAGTTGATGTTTTATACCTGTATGAAGTAACCTGTTGTAAGTTATATACAATGTTATATCACTCTTCACACTGGAATTGGAATTTAAATGCATTTTCAAAGATAATAAGAACCTGATTTATTTAAAGGTGACATTGTAAAACATGAAAACATTCTGCTACCTTTTCCACAAAAGGGAAGTTAAAAGCTCTCTTAGCCTTTGTTTGATTCATTTTGAAATGCAATGTTGTATTGTGTTATTTGTGAAAAGCCCCACCTTACCTGAGATAAGGCTCTGTCTTCCACCTTATTCCATTTTAGAATGGCTCCAAAATAGACTAGACTTTAGTGCATTTAAATTTGTGTTCAAAAGATTGATTTTGTTGTAAAGATTACTGTGATCTTAAACAGGGAATATGATGCATAACTAAGTAAAAGTTCAAGATTATAAAAGTAATTTTTCTTGGTTCATAGCTATTACACAACAGTTATAAACTTTATAACTCTTGTTGCCTGTTAGTGTTTTGCAGATATACTGTTTCAAAAGCAAAACACAACCTGTGTTAATTTAAGATAATAAGCCATCACCTACAAAATAGATAGTATATAATGCTGACTTCCAGTACTAATACTAATCCCAATTAAATGAAAGAGGTAACTATAAAATTATGGATATTGAATGATATAATGATATAACCTATTATTCCCTCTTCAAGACTGGTGAAACTGGCTTGCTAGGTGTTTAAAACCAAAAACTTGGAGACCAAAGGCAAGGAAGTAAAAGATCCAAGGAAAAAGCAGCCAACATTTTGGCCCTTGTTCTCTAAGATCAGCCAGGACCTAGAGAATGATGAGACTCCTCTCTGGGCCCTGCAACTCTGGTGATCTACTCATCTGCTGATCAGGAAGACTGAGAGGACCTTAGAGAACAGGAAGCCAGTCAGTGCACATTCTGCAAAGAAGAGGGTCATTAGAGATGAAAATGTTGCTTCCAAGAGAAGCCACCTATGTTCAGCCAGATACTGACCCATCCTGGCAGGTGGCACCACTGGTAGAGGAGAGCTAAAGGAGCCAAGAAGTTGCACACATGTCCCCAAGAGTGATCTCTGAGGAATCTCAGCTGACTCTTAAATAGTAGATAGAAACAAGGTCAGTTTTGACCAACTTGGTCTTAAACACCTGGCAGGAAAGTATAGCCTTAGCATAATCCTACATGAACATTTAAAGGGAAAAACAATGGTTTATTTAAGTGAAACTTAAGATGAACACTTGTGTCTGTCCCACCAAAAGTAAGTATAGCTGGAGGCTATAAAGGAAGGGTTCTTGTGTGATAGTGCCTCATAATGATGATCACAAAGGATTCTAGAGTCACAAGTTTATCCTGAGTTAATTTGAGCCTGATC